CATAATTCTTTTTTGTCTATGACTTGACGTTGCTAGTCCAGTTTGAAGTTTCCGGGTTTCCTTCAATTGTTTTCGTACTGAGATCTAGATCTAGATCTAGCTATCACTGGCGCGGGGGAAAAATATATTTAAAAATAAAAGCTGAAAATCTTCAGTTCCGGACTTTAGGCACAAGTAGATAAGATTACGTCTCATTAACTTGTGTGCTCTGTTTTGAACTTATATCAAATTACAAGTGTGTTAATTAAACTGCTGCTCATCAGGGTTAGATCATGAATATATACGATTACAAGTTTTATTTGGCCATGCTATAAAATCTTATACAGTAGATCTAGTTCAATGGGAACATTCAGCATTTATTGTAATGTGGTCTTATATTGAACTATATTTTAGTTTACTCCCTTACATCACAATTCATGGTAATCGCACCCAATTCCTTCTATCTATTCTAATTTTGTTTTGTGTTTTTTTCGGGAGAGGAGGGAGGGGGGGGGGTTATTCAAATTAATAGCAAAACGATGTTCAAGAAATATGTAGATATACCGAATTAATATTTTGTAATGAGTGCTCTCAGTTTTCTTGAAGTACTCTAACATTGGTGCCATTAGGATAAATTACGTAGTATACTAGTGGTGATTTGTTGCCAAATTCTTTTCTCTCTAGCTGTTTGTTGTTGTTTTTTTGTTGTTGTTGTTGTTGTTGTTTTGGGGGGGGGGCTTTGTTTTACCAACAAATTAGTAATTCACTAATCTGCTTGTGTATTTTCCAAGCTTTGCTAATCTGTGAAGGCCCAGCTGACAACTGATAAGTTTGACTCATGACTGTAAATCCTCAAGCCTGAATGTCAGGTCAACTGAGCGAAGCGTGTCATGGGGTTGCTCACTCCAGTACAAGATGAGGAACACCTCACTCATTGGTGATGGAGATTCAAAATCATCCCCACTGTATTGGCCCTCAACCCCTATGATTCCATACTCAGAAGGAGGTGATGTGTGTCATCCATGTGGCAAAAGAGTAAGTCAAAATTGATTTTGATTCTTACGTGTCATGAGAAATCAGAGTGATTTATTTCAGATACCCGATATCTGTCTCAGAAAAATGCCTCACTAATATTTAGGCATTACTTATAGAGTGATTAGTTAATTGAAAACAATGTCTTATTCAATTTAAGTGAAGAGAAATAAAAGGCAACCAATAACTGCACTTTTATTGATACTGATCTGATTCAGATTACATTCAGATTACAGATTAGGCCTAGTATTAGTGTGAGAGATAATGCACCCCTTTCCCTCCATTTAAACCTATTTATTCTTCAACTCTTTTATCAGCAGTTGACACAAGTAAAAGTACTGTGACTGAAAATGTAACAATAGTTTGATGATACAAAATTGCATGTTTGGCTTTGTTTTCATTACTGTTGAACGTTGTAAGCCTGTCACTGGTGATTTTGTTGGCTTGAAAAAAATACTTCCAAGAATGAGGGAATGGTTCTGTAAATGGAATCTGTTTTGTATGTCATATCATTTCAGTCTCAACTCTGTACTTTGCAAAATCTGAGAGCCATCGAGAAAAAGAGAGGTGAAACGCTTGGAGAGAGAGCCTTTGGCATACTGACTCAGGTACCGTATTTGAGGAAAGAAATTTCACTTGACTATCCCCTAATTTTCAAGGTCCCATCAATCAACAATTATTGCGCTATTCCCCACAAGCAAAACTTAGCCTGTTTGTAACCTAAGATATGATGGATGTTTGTTCTTTTTTATTTTAATGGAGAAGGAAACAAGTTCTCCTGGGACCTACGGTGCTTGTCATGCCTTGTGAAGCACGAGGACCATAATGATGAACGCTGTGTATCATATTTTGCATTTGGCATACTGCTTCATCACATGTATTTCATAAAACTAATTGCAGATTCACATTCAGACACATTTTTGGGGATATTTTCAGAAATGTTTTTTCCTTTTAGGGATAGTAGAATTTATAAACTGAGTCTAATCATATATGCAACCAACCGCTTATCTAGCGCTACTCTTTGTCCCTGGAGATCAAAATCAACAACTGTCTGGTGAAACACAAACTAACCCTGTGTAATGAAGGGGTTAATGCCCATCGTCTTGTAGGCCCGTACTTCATGCATTCACTCACCCTCAGACTCAGACAAGTGTGTCAGTGGAGAAAGGGAGAATACAAGGAGTTTAGAACAGTGTGATTGCGAGGTAGAAAGACTGTACTTACCGACTGGCGTCAACTCACTGGTAGGAC